TTTATTGTAGAGATGAGGTCTCGCTGCCCAGGCGGGTCTCGAACCTGTGGGCTCAGGCAAAGGATTTTTTCTTAGCTAGAAAACAGCCTCAAGGCCAAGGTGGAAGGATTGCTTGAGCCTAGGAGTTCAAAACCAGCCTTGGCAACATAGCGAGACCTCATTTCTACAAAAAAATAAAAAAATTAGCTGGGCATGGGGGCACTGATATCGAGCCAGCTACTCAGCAGGCTGAGGCAGAAGGATTGCCTGAGCCCAGGAGGTCAAGGCTGTGGTGAGATGTGATCATGCCCTGCATTCCAGCCTGGGTGACAGAATGAGACCCTGCCTCCAAACAAAACAAAACGACAAACAGCCTCAAACCCACTTAGAGAAACCTGTAGCAACACGAGGGGGTATCACTTCTGAGTGGCAGACTGCATGATCCACTGGAAGGTTTAGAACAGCCAGCTTAAGTGTTGTGATCAATTCAGAAACATTAATGCCTATTATGAGCTACACTCAGTGTGAAGACAATGCCACTGCTGTCTAGAACACACGTTCAAATCCTCAGATGCAAACCGAGCTGGACCCCATGAAAGGCAAAGATTGACTGTCCCACTAAGAAGAATCAAACCTGACAGGCTGTGATGGGGGAGGCATTCAAATGGGCCTGCAGCCTTGAATTACAGCCGGTGTTTGCATTTTTAAACAAATTACTAAAAAAGAGGTTTACAGGTGAAACATTTCATTTGGAATACAAATCTATATTTAAGCCTAGTTTCTTTTTCCTTTGTTCTGCTCATTCTGACTTAGTAAATTACTCATAATTTTAATTATACTTTCATTGCTTGGCAGTTGACAGGCATTTATTTCTATGATACGCCATACTGACCACCTCCTGCTCTGGCCTTCTTGCAATTAGTTTGTTCTGTTGAGCTCTGGAGGCGGCTAGCTGGTGTAGATACAAGCCTGGTTCCTTGGGAGCAGCCACCACCACTTCCCAGAGTCATCCAGCAGTACTGTCAGAGGCAGGACTGGGGCTGACATCAGGCAATGTGCTCACAGTCCTTGTTTGGAGGGGTGATGCACCCCAGCCCTGATGCTCACTGCCTTTATAGAATTATAGAAAAGGAGCTTGCCTAGTTATCAGCAGGCTGCTGCTGTCTACAAAGAAAATGCTAATTTTCGGGTAGAATTCAGCATAGTACAAAGGACCAATCTTCTTTCAGTTGATTGTGTTAGTGGAGGGTGGAAACCAGAAGTGTGGGGACCTCACATTTCCATTCTAAACGTCTCCTATCGAAGACCCCAATGGAAGTCAGCACGAATACAGAAGTCCAATGGACCTCGAAGACCAGAGATCTTGCATGAGGCCTCACAGGCCACCCTGTGACCTTCTGTTTTCACAAAGAAAGAACCCAGAGCCAGGCCCTTTGTCCCTTTGCCAGTGGCTGCCAGACAGATCAGGGGTGTGGCTTCCCAGAGACAGGGCGGGAGTCATAGCTGAGTTTTCTTGCTTTCCACTCCAGTCCCTTATGCTCTGGTAAACCTAGACAGGTCAAATGCCACAGCAGCGGATTTCTGGTTTCACCAGGAGACATTTGGAAATGTCTTTTTATCCCCTGGCAAGGTTCCTTCCTATCCTACCTACAGAAGCTGCCACTAAGCAATACAAGGGAGACAAGAAGTGGCCCACAATTCCTCTGTCGATACTTGAAGGAGATTATGTGCTCTCAACAGAAACCCGGCTTATTAAACTATTCTCTATCCCTCACACAAGTGGCAGTGTCAAGCCATGTGTGGTTGGATCATATGAAACTGCCACTTTCATACCTCAAGCGCGGTCACATTTCTTATGATCCAACCTAGCACGTCCTGACACACCACCTTACAACATGGCTGAAGAAGCAGAGACATTCCAAGGGCAGCGGTTGCCAGCTGGGCTGTCACCACCCCGGCCCGGGTCTCCTACTTGGCTCTTCCCTGCACCATCAGTGCCCTGAGCCTCAAGCCCCTCCTTCCAAGTCTGAGGTTGGCGCTACCCACCCACCCTTCTCTCTCTGCTCCTGGCATTCTCGGCCCCAGCCTGGCCCTAAAGGAGTCTCCAGCACACGCGAACGCCTCCTGTCCTCGCTCAGCCTTGGGCCTTGTCCTCAGTGCCTGTGGGGCGAAGCTAATGTCCGCCCAGAACTCACCCCTTGAGGCCCTCCAGCAGCCTCTGCTGGGTCTCCCAGCTTTGCTGCCCTTTTTCTGTGGCCCCTCTCTTTGCACAGGACCCCTCCCCACGCACACAACCACCGTTCCCCTCTCAGTTTCCTCTCCTGACCTCCCAAACCAGTTCCTCCTTCCCATCAACTCAGGCACCCTGCCATTCTCCTTAATCATGTCATCAGCTTCGATGCTCACACAGACCACTCTCCTGACCTCTGGCTCCCACTTGCCACTCTGGACCATCCTGACCTCACACGGCGCCTACCCTGCACCTGCTCCACCCCACAGTACTCCTTCCCCAGCATGACAGCCCCCCATTCTGGCCTTGTTGGCCAGAGCCTCGACTCTGGTCCCAACACTTGGCCCCCTGCCCGTTGGTCTGTCATGTTTCCAGCTCCAGGGAAACACAACATCTGCCTCCTCTGCTCCTGGGCCTGGCCACCCCAGGTCCTAGGCTGAGGCTGGCCCTACAGAGCCTGGCTTCATTCCTCGGCTGGGCTTCCCTGCAGCCTCCTTTGGCGGTTTTGCCCTCTGTTATTTTTTGTCCTTGATGTCTGTCATTGCTAGCAAACATTATGCAACACTGGGACTTGGGAAAGGAGACAGCAGAGTGTCCTTTCAATGCGTTGTTCCACAGCCCCACAAAGGGTTACGGGACGATCTGGGGAAATGTTCCTTAGTTTGATTCTCTATTCACTGGAGACTAAAGACCCAGGCTTTGGGAAAATCTGTGTAATCCAGTAGGCATTTTGTCTGGTTGTAAATGATTTCTCTAGAAAAGATGACTCCAAAGGCGACAGTTTTACTGCCCTGTGGGACAATATGGGCTGGTATGTACACAGAAGCCCTGCTCCAATGGCCTTGGTCAATGCCCATAAACATCCAGTTCTCCTAATGCTGTCTGAACCAGACTTGCCATCCTTCTGGTCCCTCCCTAATAACCTGGGCTCCTGCTGGGTGTAGGGACCCTACAGCTGGGGAGATAGAAAGGGGTCCATTCAGTATGCCAAGATAGGGATGCACATATCTGGAGGGAACAGAGGGGTCTAGGGAAGGGAGGCAGATGAGGCCTCCTAGGCATGGTGGATGATAAGAAGGATTTCGGCGTATAGGGCATAGCCACGGGCAGGTTCATTCTTCATGTGCATTGTAGTCATGGCTTTAGCATTTTGGAAATTATACTTTGACACCATTTTCCTTTGAGTCTGAAGCCTGATAAGGGAGTTTCCTTGACTTTACTCTCAGACACTTAGCATGGGGCCAGCCTGCAGTCCACATCCAGCCAGCGTGGCTGAGCAAGGAGGGGTAAGAACACACTGTGCAGAACACGTGTGATTCCCCAGGCTCCTACCTGCCACTGGATCAGAACGGACGAAGTGGTGTGTGGTGTTGCTGAGACACAACCTGGAGGTTCTCCTGGGACTGAAACCACACAGAAAGAAAGCGGGGATCAGAATAGTCGTTAGTATTCAACCGCCCCTCCCTTCCCAGGGCACCCACAAAGAGGAAGCTAGCAAGCCTGACTCTCTCCTTCCCCATGGGGGCCCTTCTTCTCACCCTCTCTCAGAGCTTCCTGAGATTTCCCTTCAGAGCCAATGCCTGGATAGAAGGAACCCAATTCTAACAATGGCCCTGACAAACAGACCCAACTAAGATCTCTCCATGGTGGACTTCCTGAGAGCCACTCCTCCAATGATGGTGTCCTAGCAACTCCCTGTCTCCAGATCCCCCAAGGTCAGAGCTACTTCTGAAGAGGACAAATGATCAAGCCAGGTCACAGTGTTCATGGTTTGAAACACTAATGTAACCATCACAAAAGGAGGCTGATTTCTGGCAAGGCTGCAGCTTGCTGGGATAGGGCCGAAGGGCAATCCGCCATGTTTCAGGGTGGTCACAGCAGTTCTACTTTGGTTTCTGGAGGAACAAGGTTGGTTTAACCTCTGCTCATGGCTGTGCCCTACACTCTGGCCAGGCTGAAATCCTTCTTGTCATCCACCATGTCTAGGAGGCCTCTTCTGCCTCCCTTCCCTATGCCCCTCGGTTCCCTCCAGATATGCGCATCCCTATCTTGGCATACTGAATGACCCCCTTTCTATCTCCCCAGCTGTAGGGTCCCTACACCCAGCAGGATCCCAAAACACATTCGTCGTTCCAGACATACTCCCCGAACTGAACGAGGATGTTCTTCCTGCACCCCACTTGTGTGTCTGCCAACTCCTCCCCTCTACTCAGCACTCGGGAGTCGGCCCCTGGATCACCTGCTCCGATTCTCCTGCGGCTCCTCAGTCCCCAGCCCTGGCAGCACCTGCACAGTCACACTTCCACCTTCCTGTTCCACTTTGGGGACCTCTCCCTCCTGCCCTCTGAACCTCCTGCCGTTCCGGCCTCCTGGGCGACCCTCTAGCCAGATTCCTGGTCACACCGGAGTGCAGCCCCCAGGGTTCCCAACCTCCTCAAGTTGTGGGGCTGTGCCCTCACCTCCACCATAATAAGAAACGTCTATCAGCAGACCATCCACATACTCAGAGGACTCTCCCCACTTAGTGAGGGTTCCCCAGCCCCTGGGGTCAGTCCGTGCCTGTCACTCTCCAGCTGCTAGCAGGAGACATGCGACACAAGTGCAATGCAAATCCACTGCAAGGAGAAATTTCAGATCTCCGAAAAGGATGATGACGAGATAGGTGCATCAAAGCACCGATTTGAATATCAAAGGACAAGAAAGGCCTCAGGAACCTCGAGAGGCCCTTGAATATTTTTTCAGAAATGGCCCATTTGGATGGAACAGTGGAGGTCAAAAGGGGCTGTTGTTCTTGGCTCTCACACGATCTGCCAGAGATATTACAACAGTATAATCAGCCTGCGTGGTTTCTTCTTTATTCTAAGAATTAGTGCCCAGCTGCAAATATTACCTCAGCCATGTTACGTGTAGGATTAAAATGAATGCGGTTAAATAGTTTTGGTTTTGTACTTTAGTTCTGATGAAACCTTTCCCTTGTGGTTTAGTGTGAAATTAGTCCCTACTTTAAGTAGATTAATTAGAAAAGCTTTTCCAGTTACAAGTAGCCTCAGCCTCCAAGAACCTCTGAGCTTGCCTCCACTTTTGTTTCCCTCATGTTATGAGCTCCTGAGGCTGATCCCAGCTCCCCAGGGCCCAGTAGGGCTCCCAGAGACACTGGACCACACCATGTGCCCAGGGTGACTTCTCTACTCTCACTGGCCTTCCCTTGAAATAAAGAAACTCCTAGGATTCATGCTCAGGAAAGAGTTTGGGTGAGAATCAGGAGCCACCAAAGCCAACCATGGTTTCTCTAGGGGCAGGTCCACCTTTCCTGGGAGCACGGCTGGGACCCGTCGGGGAGCTGGAAGCCCCTTTCATTCGAGTAGCAGGCCCTTGCAGATTCTGCTTCACTGGGTCTGCAGCAAAACCGGCTCTGGGAGTTGCTGGGAAGCTGAGAATGGTTTGCCTCAAGCCCTTTGCAGGTCCCTAAGGTCACATGAGGCCTATGTTGGAGAAACTAAACTTCCAGGTTATAAAAAGAGTGGAACTGAAGATGTGAGGTCACAGGGTGAGCCTGCTGGAAATTGGGTTTACTTGAAAATTGTTCCACCGGTGCATTAAATGGAAAAGACAGTGCTTTGGGGGTAGGTTTAGGGAATTATAATAAAGCACTGCTGGGTGAACTGAGTGCTCAGCTTTCCAGCCAGGGAGCTGAGCTACACTGTCCGTGACTCACTCTCCATCTTTCTCCTTCCTATCAACCAGGCTGTCACTGTGGGACGTGGCTGATGGAGCTGCCTCCCAGGTTCACTGCAGGCCTGGGTCACACAAAATGACAGTAAATCTGCAGGCCTAAAACCTCTGAGATAGGACAGAGGGGGAAAGAAGCCACCTGGTGCTTTGCGGAGATCACTTCCCAACACGTACCTGCACTACTGTCAAACAGAGTGGCTTGTGAATTAGGAAAATTGGGAAAACCTCTTAAAGCCCAGCTACCCACTGACATTTATTTTTAATGACCCTATCAATTATTCAATTTCTGGAATGCTAATGGAATGGATAGTAGGGGCTTTGGAAGCCAATCAAAGAAACTTCTATTCCATTTGGAAGCCCTTGAAGCCTTGATTTACGACTGCAGGGTGTGCAGGAATACTCCAGGCTGTCTGTGGCTAATGGCATTCTACTGCTCACCACCGCTCCCTAGTGACCCCTTCCTGACTCAAGACAAAAGCAGGGCCTCTCTCTAGGAGCCAGTGTCTCAGGCTCCAGGGGCAGGGACCAGGAAAGCAGTCTGGGTGTCAGCATGCTCACCGTCCTGCAGCGTGGTCACCGCCTCTGTCTCCAAACTGAAGTCGCTGTCCCCAATGTCATTGGTGGCTTTTAGGCGCAGCTTGTAGGAGGTGAAGGGCCTCAGCCTGAAATGTGAAAGAAACCCGTGACTGCCTGGGGACTCTGCCACCCTGCCCTGCCTTCGAGCGCTCCTGGTGATGGCCAGAGACAGGGGTGGATCTCTTCCCTGCCAGAGCTCAGGGTTCCTGCAGGAGCCTGGGCCAGATGACCCTGCAGTGAGGATGCTGTCCCCAGGTCAGACTGAATTGCTTCCGGCTGGCAGAGAGAGGGGCTCCGAGGGGATCTTGAGTCTGTCCGGGGAATGGCCTTTGGGCACTCTGACTGTCCTAGTGCCCAGAGAAAGAGGAACTTCATGGAGGGGAGGGGAGTTCAGAACTTCCTGGCCAGGGAGGGAGGTTTTGCTCAGGGCTCCTCAGGGAGACATCCCTACCTCCTGTAATTAGAGACACTCCTGCAAGACAAATCGCTGCTCTCTGAGGAACGCAGAGAAAGTCTCAGGAGGGGCTCCTTAGATCAGCCCTCATGCTGATCAGGAGTGTAACAGGAGTTCCTGCCTGATGCCTGGCCTTGCGCGTGCCCTGCGTGCCCTGCAGAGCTCTGTCCCAGCTGGGCCCAGACTTGTGGCTGTCCAAAGCCACGCTCCTGCGGCCCTGCACCTCTTCGATTTACTAAGCCATCATGCTAGGCGCTTGGCAGGCATCACCCCATTTAGCCTACACAGACTCTGAGAGGCGGGGCTCTTCATTAGTTCTACCTCAAGGATGAGAAAGCTGAGGCCCAGTTAGATGAATTCACTTGCCCACTTGCCAGAAGACTGAGAAACGGCAATACTTGGCGCCCGTATCCATGTCCATTGTCCACGTGAAAAAACATTCCCAGCCCTTTGATGATGGAGATTTCAGGGGCACTAATGCTCCGCAAGGCATGGCTTGGGGTTACCACTTCTGGCATTCTTCCATCCACCCATCTTCCCTCCCTCCCTCCCTCTCTTCCCTCCTTCCTTCTTTGCTTCCCTTCCCGCCCTTCCCTCCCGCCCGCCCTTTCCTCCTCCTTCCTCCCTTCCATCCATCTGCCGAGTCGTCCCAGAGGCGCTGGGTCTCCTGTGCTAAGCCCCACACCATGCCTGAGACTGAGACGTTAGGCAAAAGCTTCCGTGCAATCTGCCCTGCCAATCCCACGCCCACTCATGCTCAGTGTCTGGCTGGCCACTCCTCGTGGATGCCCTTCCCACTGCTACAGAAAGAGTAGGCGAGGAAGCCCAGGGATGACTTCCTGAGGGAAGGAGTGAAGAAGGACAATGTGCTCTGTTTCTGAGGTTTCCTGGGAGGGTTGCCTATGAGAATACATGTGAAAATTCACATTACAGAGGCCGAGGTGAAGGGACTGCCTGAGTCTACAGGTTTGAGAACAGCCTGGGCAACTTGGCGAGACCTCATCTCTACAATGAATCAAAAAAAAAAATTAGCTGGGCATGGTAGCGCACGCCTGTAGTTCCAGCTACTTGGAAGGCTAAGGCAGAAGGATCACCTGAGCCCAGCAGGTCGATACTGGGGTGGCCGTGAGTGTGCCACTGCCCTCTACCCTGGGTGACGGGGTGAAACTCCAACTCAAAAAAAAAAAATTCTCATTATACCTGGCACACAGTAGGTGCTGCAGTAATTACTCTGCCATGATATTAGCAGTGCACAGTTTAGTATTTCATGGTTTGCTAATGATTTGGAGCCACACTGCAGGTTCTTTGAAGTCCTTCTTTCTCTGCTGACCTGCCTGGGCCTGGAGCTACACTAGGCACACGCATGAGCAGGGCGTGCATGTCAGGTGACTGGACAAATCAGCCTGGCTCTGAGACAAATGGGGCTGGGTGCAAAGGAGACCAGAGGGCAGAGCTCCTGGCAGGAGACCTGTGTCTCGCCAGGCTTGCTTCTTCACCAAGGACTGATTAACTGTCTCTGAGTGTCTTAGGGCACACACAGACGGCTGGTCTGCAGGAGCTAACCCTCTTGGAAGCCATGCCAGCACCCAGAGAGCAGGCCAACAGCGACTCAAGCAGGGCAAGGGAGTGACTGCCCCTCGTCCTGAAGAGACATGTGCTGGCAGTGACGGTATCATCCCCTCTGCTGGCGCTGTGGTCCCACACAGTAGCTCCCCAGCCTCCCTTGTCATCTCTCTGCAGAGCTGCGGTCTACCTCCCAGCCCTAAAGCCTGATCCGTGACCCATCCCATTGTTCCTTCCATGCTCCCTCCTATGGCATAGCAGGACTTCAGTGACTCCTGATAAAGGAGCAGATGCGCAAACAGCAATCCAGGAATACTCTCCTGCAACCGTTCTCATTTGCCCAAATTCTGCACTCTGTTCACACTTCTAGGCCTACTCAAGCCTTTTCTGTGGAGTCAGCAAAGCAGAATTCAAAATCCTCTGCCGTCATGAATCTGGGCAAGTCACTTGATTTCTCTGAGTCTCACTTTATTCATCTATCGAAATGGAGATAACGGCACCCGTACTTCTCAGGGTTGTTGTGAAAATTAAATTCTATAACCACCCTCATAGAGTCTAACAGATCTTGGCACACAGCAGCAACTAATAAATGTTCCTTCCTCTTTCTTGTCTTGCTGCGATGCAGCGTGCAGCTTCCCTTGGCCCTTTGCTCGTTCCATATGCCTCATCTTCCAAATTCCCACCACCCAAAGTGAGAAATGGGACAGATTTAGGGACATTTTTGAGATAATACCTGTTATTTAAACTCTTACTTCTAACCACTTCGAACTTAGGAAATGAATAGATTTGTATAACACAGGGCCCTCCTCACTATCCAGATGTGGCATCAGAACTCTTGCTGTCCCCAGTCAAGAACCGATATATTTGGAAACAAGTTTGTACTTGTACTGCCTTGGATGGATGCTCACATACACAAATGTCCCCTCCACATCCAAAGTGTTCTGGGGTGGGGATGGAGGTGGGGCATGGCTGACAGTTCAGTGTTTCTCCTTCAGGGATAAATACAGAGTCTTTTGAACAGAAGGAGCTCCATGTATTCATTCATTCATTCACTTGATTATAATATAAAATGTGAGTCTTTTAAAAAGCCTTCATTTATTTATCTTGAAGGCCCTGAAAATGTATGTTAAAATTCTCTATTACATCACAAAGGAAATGACTACCATGCTCATGTGTAATGTTCTTGGCCAAGTTCACTTGATTTTTAAATGACAGTATTTTTTAAGAACTATATTATATGAAAAAACAATGACCCAGTGAAACTAGGGCCAGTGTGCTGACTTTAATCGAGTCCCTACTGTTTTACATGGTAGTTCCCTCTGGGCCCTTCTGGTTTTGGTTTGAATCTATCGCAGCCATGATGGCAGGAAAGCCCCAAGGTAGAGAGGAGACCGTTTTTGCCAGGGGTGCCACCACCTCTGGGTGCACACTGCCACTGTCTATCTCAAGGTGATATCCAGAATCTCCATGTCACTCTGGGCTCACATTTCTGGGGGAGACCACCCAGTCTCGCAACTTTAACCATCAACCAGCCACTGGTGACGCCAACCCTTCTCCCTGGTGATCTAGGCCCATGGTCCTAAATGTAGTCACAGTCATTAGATTTAGATGGTTAAACGCCTCACAGTTTTGGGATACTGGCAGATTTCACGCAACTGGTAAAAGGAAAGTGTAGCTGTCAGGATTATTAAACAGGAAGGGAGATTATCCCATGGCAGTGTACAATATATTGCTTTCCTGGGATCCTGCCTGTGACATGTTTCCTCTTGATAGGTCGAGGAAGCATCTGTCCTAGTTCTGGCCCATTAGGAAATTGACAACAGTCTCTACTATAGCAAATTAAACTGTCTGTCCTGAAACATGGACCTCTCCATGCCAACATGAAGTCCCAGGCACACAATTAGTCAGTTAGATTTCAGAAGCCTCCAGGAAAGGTGGTTGGATGTTTTCCTTCTTCCTTTCAGATGGTTCCACAAAGGGATGAGGTTATTTACATCCAGAAGCACAGTGCTAATTAAGTTAAGCACCGGTGTGGTTTATTAAAGTGAGACTGGGCACGCCTGGCCACATTCCCTTGCCCCTTGGGGCCATGCCAGGAGAATTCTGGGCTGCAGGTGGATGGCACCCGCAACTCGGAGTGCCTTCCCCAGGAGGGCTGGACTTTCTACTGCTGTTGTTCAAAGGGTAAAAGGGTAAAGGAAAGGCTGGCAGAGACCTGGAGGACGGTTTGACTTTCTGGAGTGCCTATTTGTTGGCTGCCAGAAACGAGGCAAATCTGGGACTCACAGAGCTTAAAGGATGACAGGATCCTTCCTTCAGTCCTGACTTTTACAGTTGAGAAGGCTGAGTCTTAGCAAGCGTCCAGTGATGGACTTTTTCAAAGCCAGTGGCTGCTGAGGGGAGACCAACTGCTGAAAGCTTGGAGTTCAGAGGCTAATGCCTGGGGGTTTCACACTTCACAGACCCTCATCAATTAGCTGCAAGAGATGGTTTGTGTCGATGAAGCCTTGGCCTACAGGCTCATGGAATGTGAGAGCTACAAAAATCTTAGGGTTATCACTTCCATTTAGAGAAGTTGAGGCACAGCACGATCATTACTTAAGACACTTCTACCCGAACTTCCTCATCTGAAAAATGGGAATAGTAAAACGTCTGGTTTGTGTCTCTGCACAGTTGTTGCAAGCATCATATGAGACAACATCTGGCAAGAGTTTGGGAAATAACCGTATGCCATATGATGCCGAGGTGATCATGGCAATGATGGTGGTGGTGATAATAATGATGGCAATGAAGTCCTGATAGAAAGCTGTAACCTTCTGGAAGTCACCCAACTCCATCACTATGGAAAACACCTCAGAAGCGGACACCAGATGGATCCTGCCCCAGCCTCCGTTCCCTGACTAATGCAAGGTGTGCACTTGCAGTTGCAGGCATGGAAGGTGTTTTCCACACTCCAACCTGACAACATGCGGATCTGAACTAATGCCGTCCCTTCAGGTGAAGGCAGGAAGAACTCTGGACTTGCTGGAAGCAATCCTTGTGCTTGGGGACCAATCAACCTTGGTTTCCAGATGGAGGAGAGCTATTTGGACCACGAGATGGAAGAGGGTGATGGTATCACTTGGGGTCACAGACAGCAGTCACTGCACCCTGCTGAGCTGCCTCCTTTCTTGGCCCATGGGTGGCTCACGGGTTCCTGAGCTGGGAACAGTGGCACAGACCTCAGAGAATCTGTGTGACCCGCTTCGGATGCCCATGGACTCTGGTCAAGATTTGCGTTCCACACAGTACACCTCCTGGGGGTGCCGTGTGGGGTGGCCAAGGCGATATTAGCATACCCATGGCCACTGCTGCCCCCACACTAGCCCCGGTGCCTTATAATCAGTACCTCCAAACCACACAACTCAAAAGGCAAGTGACGAGGAGGTGTCCAAGATCCCAAGTCACCCAAGATCACCCACTGGCAAGTGACCAAAGCCAGCCCGAGCCTGGACCGTTCTGATTCACACCTCTTCTCCTGAGATGCCCCTGCCGACCCTGCTCCCATGCACACACTTTACCCTGTCATGTGCCTGGAGGGGGACGTTCTCTTCTCTATAAATACTACTGTGGTCACATCTAGGAAACGGTGACAGAGACACATTCCAACTGCCCCCCACTCCAAAGCCTGAACCGTGCCCCAGGGCAGGGCAGGGGTAAGGGTGGTTTTCTAAGGATGGAGACTACCAGGGGCTTTGCCTCTGACCTGCCTCCCATTCCCTGGGTTCAACAGGGCAGGCTTGAGCTGGGCAGTCACATAATTGAGGAGGGCCGGGTCTACAGGCAAACCTCTGACTTTTCTGACAATGGTTTTCACCCACAGAACAGGGTTTGTGATCTTCCTCACCAGGCCATCAAGGGGTGCAGAGGGCTCGTGAGCATCAGGCTTCCCAGCACAGTGCCCAGCACGGCAGTGTGTGAACCTGCAAGCTGGAGGAAGTTCGGCTGGCTTGGAGACTGCTGTCTCAGCCCTCCATCCTGCTCTAGGTGTCAGCATGGGCTCTGGAACCCTCAAAGACGAAGGGACTCACTTCCAGAATCCCGTCTCTGCAGTCTGGATCCTAAGCTCAGTAACAAGTGACTAAGCCCCGGGCAGAGGAGAACGGAAAGCAAGTACCCCGGGAGGCCTTGCCCAGGCAGGACCGCAAACCCAACAGGCCCTGGAGAGCGCCGGGCAGGTAGCGGATAGTGAGGCTACAGGACACTTAGGGTAGTGGCTGGGCTGCGTGACCCCTGTCTCTACAAAGTGGGCAGCTTCCTCCGTTGTCAAGGGGATGAGACAGGACCACGCTGCAGAATGTCTACTGCCACCGTCAGTGCAGCACATTCCTGCCTTGTGCCTCGAAGTTTAACACATGACTGAGGAAGCGGGAGGATTCTCATTGCGGTCCCAGGGCATGCCCCCCATGTTTCCCCATCAGCCAACACTAACGAAGGGCAAGCAGTTGAGGTGCTTTTGAGAACACAGAGCAAAGGACATCTCTCGGGCTCTTAACATCAGTGCCAGGGTCCAGCCCTCTTCGCACTCTCCCTTCCCCAGCGCTGGCATGGGGAGGGCTAGGACTGGAGTCCCCATCCAGGCTCACCCCATCATTCTTGCTTCACCAGTCCCTGGGGCCTGGGCTGTGCAAACCAGCCGTGTGGCACACCTCGAAGGTCAGACTCAGGAAGGGGCCTGAGTGGCTCCAGGACCCAGGAATTCGGGGGCCCCTGGGGCAGGGAGTATCAATAAGAAGGGGTGGCGTGAGCTCTTAGAGGTGCGTCTCCCTAGCCCGTACAGCTTCCCCACTCCGAGGGCAGGAGCCACTGGAGAAGGCCAGGAAGGGACCCTTCAGGGGCAGGGCCTGTTCCCCACCGGGGGTCCTCCTAACTCCCTCAGTACCTCTCAACGGCGCAGGCTGTGGCCTCGTGGCTGATGGACGAGGAGTAGGTCTGCCACTCTCCCCGGGGCAGCTCTCGCACCTGCACAGTGAAGTACCGGATAGGGGAGGCTCCGTCGCTGCCCGGAACCCACTGGAGCCGGAGGCTGCGGGCGGTCACTTCTGCCTGGGGCACCAGGAGCTCTCTGGGGGGAGCCGGCCGCTCTGCGAGCAAACAAGGACAGACCAGGGACATGTGAGAGGCTGCTCTTCCCAAAAAGATTCCCCTGGCAGTTACACCACTGTTTAGTGCGGACTGCCCACAAAAGCTGTCTGCATAAGTCAGACAATCTAAAGCCAATTCCCTTCTCGGCTCAGGGGATGTGAGGCCCTCTTACAGCTGACTTTGGGCATGCCCAGCTTGTATTTGACTGGAGCTCCCGTCTGGCTCCTGGGCCGCATCACTTTCAGAGCAGAGACAGAATACAGAGGTAAACTCACATGGGAGCTCCAGACCCTCCACGCCAGCGGGGGCAGGCATCTATGGATGGCAGCTGGGCTCACAGGGGCTTAGGGCTATTCCAATCACCTCCAGGTCCTTTTGGACCTCACTTTTCTGATTTGGGGCTCAGTCCGTCTTCAGCCTGAATTTCCTTTCCCTTGTCACCAACCTGAGCCTCAAGCATTAAAGGAATCTACTCAGTTCTGTGGTGAGCAAGGATGCCTCTGGCCTGACACTGGCCACTCGTGTCTGAGTGGCGGGACTGGGGACACAGGGTGCCTGGGGCCGGGCCCGACCTCGATTGCTGTGTCCGTCTGCTGTGTCTATGTCTATGCATCCCATTGATTTCAGCAGAGAAACTCCGTAGAGGGAGGAATAATTGTTTAATTGTTTATCATGAAGATTATTGATTCTGATTAAAATGTGTGGCATGTAATAAAGCAGCAATTGATTGTAGGCCCCGCAGTGACGGGCCTTTGAGGAGCATTTCGATCTAACTTAATCAGCACTCATTTCCGTAAGCACACGCTGTGGCTGTGTGACTTCTCGCCTTGGAGCGGTGGTCTGGCGGCCCCCTGCTCAAAGGCCCCTCTTGGATGTACTGACAACTGTCAAGTCTCTTGGGTTCTCTGAGCCACGAGAACTGAGGCTGGGGGTCCTTGTGGAAAATCTCTTAGATCTCTGGGCCTGGAAGACGATGGCGTGGTGTGGGGCAGGGGTGCCAGCGAGAAGCGGGGAAACAGAGCAACTGTTTCAGAAGGGTGTGGGTGATGCTGTGAGACGTGTGTGATGTGCTGCACAGGGGCTGGTTCATGGGAACAGCACTGTCCACGTTTAAGAAAAATAGTCAGTAAAACCACATGAGTACACTGAGGAACAAAGTCAAATGGTTCACTTGGGGAGAGTCGTTAACACTGTCCTGAAATGCCAGTTGCCCAGTGTGCTGATAACAGGACAGTAGCAAGGGGCTGGGGGCTTCTTCATGGGGCCATCTCCTCCATCTGCTCCATCCAGAAGCAGGGTGGGCATCTGTAGTGATGCTAGGGCTCCCATCCCTCCAATTAAAACAACAATAATAATTGTTGTGCAGGAGGATGTTTCATCAAATACTATTGCTGTACCAAGGAAGGCATTATTATTATCATTACCATCAGCAGCAGCAGTAGCTCAGTACACAGAGGCTTGCAGTGAGTGCCAAGCTGCCAGTTAGGGTAGCCAGGACTCACAGAGGGCTGGCGGCAGGGGCGGTGAGGTTTGGAGCCACTGGAAGGTTCTAAGCTGTGCAGAAGGGAAGCCACCGCTGGCCGTGGGGCATCAGCATGTGCCCTCAGAGCAACCAGCTTTCAGGAGCTGCTGTGTGCACACTTGTCCCCAACTGTGCACCAGTGAAATAAGCTTGGTGCCTCGAAACGGACTGGAGGGAGAACAAGCACTGTCTGCAGTATGCCCCCTGGGAGACCCAGCTGAGGGGGTGCTGTCCGAGAGGCCTCTGGGAGGGGGCAGGTCGTGAAAGTGGGTCAGGAACCAGATGGTGAAGCTTGTTATTGTGCATTTGGAACTATTTTTATTGCAGGATCTAGAATAGACCATTTGAGGGTATGGTGAGCTGAACTCAGCACTGGAAAACAATTCCGATCTTAAAATTGGAGAAGGAGGGAGGAAGAGTAGACACTCATGGGCCCAGTGGAGCCAGCAGGTTCTGAGGCCTGAGCAGGAAGGGCCTGGACAGCAGAGGGGTGGGTCAGGAACAGGGTGGGCACGTGGGAAGAGGTGCCAGGGTCAGGCTGAGGTCTTCGAAAGCAGGATGGGAGGAGCCCAGACTCAACACAGAAAACCAGGTGGCAAAATCGCCAATACTGCTCCTCTGCCTGCACGGCCGGGCCCTGGCTCAGGGCAGGTGGCTGCATGAAGGCCTGACGCCCTGTGTCACCAGAGTGCCTGCTTGGGGACTTCATAGGAAAGCGGTCTCCTTTCAGGGCAGTCTGCTTTTACATAGTACTTGCTCTGGTCAATACCAGATTGGGGGGGGGATCTGGCCATGTCCGGCCACGATCACAGCAAGTCTAGGCAGCCCCAGTCTTCAACGGGATCAGGGACTTTGCAGACGCGAAGACGCCTCAGACGGAGTGAGACGTGGAGAGGGCTCAACATTCCTCTCCCCCCACCTCCTTCCTCTTCTAGATTTAAGACGGGAGCTGCTTTTCATGTGCTCCGAGCTCAACTCAATGCTCTCTTGAACTATCTACTTTAGACCTTGTAATGAAATGGTCACAAAGGCACCAATGCACTTGTTCCCACTGATTGAGCTCCTGCACCACCCGGCTGTGCTTTCTGGGGGTTCAGAGGACAAGCTGACAGCCCTCGGGGTCCTGCACCATTCTAACTGCTTCACACAGGCACGACCAGGTTGCCAGTACTATCCTTACCCCATTTTACAGATGAGGAGGCCATGGCACAGAGAAGAGAAGAAATGCACCCAAAGTTACAGAGCTCCAGAGCCTGGGCCCTCTCCAGCGAGACTCTCAGAAGTGAGACCAGAGCCAAATGCTCCAAGTGCTTCCCCATCAGCTGTGCCTGGAGTCTCCTCCTGTCCTCATTCCCCAAGGTCTCTGAGATCGGCTCTGATGGCAGGTCCTGCAGTTGAAGCCAGAGCTGCTGGGGAAAGGGCCCTGTGACGCTGATCCTGGGTGTTGCTGTAGAGAACTGGAGAGCAAGGCCGGAGGACCTGTGGGAGCCTCTGAGGTGGGAGCACTGAGAGAGGAACCCTGAGATGGGAGCCTTGAGGTGGAAGACCCGAGGCGGGAGCCCACCACAGACTTTTGTGGGAAGAGCCGACCTTGCCGTCTGGAGGCTATGTCCGAATCTTAGCTACACAGTTGTATGTCTAGGCAAATTTAATCTCCTCCATTTCATCTTCTGTAAAGCTGGAGGTAAACCATGCTCTTCCATGGGCTGCAGGGAGGATGAACCAAGAAAAGTGCATGGAGCCCTGACCCTGCACTTGGAGCAGGGGTGGTGTTCGCACGTGACAGTCCTTGTTAGGAAGGTAGCTGTTTAGAAAACATATTTCTTGAGCACTTGCTCAGCTGGGGATACAGTTTGAATATCAGAGATCAGGGTCCTGCCTTCGGGGAGCTTACCTCTAAACATGATGACTGTGTAACCATGCACCAGCTACACAACCTCTCTGAGTGACAATTCTCTCTTTCAACCTGGGACAATCTCACCTATCTCCCAGGCACCCTGCAGACACAGAGGGCCTGGCCCAGAAGCCGAGCTGCTGAGTCCCAGCACCCATTCTGGCTATCCTTCCTCCCGGAGGGCCTTACCTCTCTTCTCGGTGGTGATGACGGTGGCCTCCAGCGGCTCCCCCCAGCCCTGCCTCGTCTTGGCTGACAGGCGGAAGACGTAGGCGGACTCTGGGGCCAGCTCAGTGGCTGTGAACTGCCTTACGGTGGCGCCGACCTCCACGGTGGTGAAAGTGTGGGGGCTGCTGCTGGCCAGGCGGTAGGCGATCTGGTACCCTGCGGGCAGGCGAGGGAGACACGGGCTCTGGGTCGTTTCTCCACTGTACAGGGAAAGCCCGGAGCCCCCCACCCCAGCGTGACCCCTGGACTGGAAACCCAAGCCAGGCCACCTGTTTCTTCCCCTCTCTGGAGGCGGCTGCGGTGTGCGGGGAAGGGCAGCACACCACAGAGATGGACGGCCTCTGCGCCTAATCCCCTGTGTGACATGTTTCATTCCTCGTCCTTCAGGGAACAAGATGTGAAAACAGTTTCACCTTCTCTGAGGATGCTGGCAGGCTGAAGGAATGCCTCCAGCACCAGGCATTCACCCTGCTCCTGATTGGAGCTGCAGAGGTCACTGGTTTTTCTTATTTCCCCACACCCTTTCCAATTACCAATGGGCGCAGTGTCACACCTGCCTCCTGTAAGAAATTCCTTTAACATTTGTCAGCAGTAGTGTGGCCTGCTGGGGGTGGGACAGCCCTACATCTGCCACCCCGTCTTCCTTCCTCCCGTCTTCCCTGTCTTTCTGCACCCCAGGTCCCCAGCTCCCTCCAGGGACCCAGCATCTCGGCTCCTCGGCCGCCCACTCCCAGAAACACCCCAGGGAGCCCCACTCTACAGAATCCCCTGTGTGCTGCTCAGTTGAGGAAGGGCTCCCCGGCTCTGACTGACTTTAAGTTCCCCGATTAGGAAGGGTGTGTGGTTGACCAGGCATTATCAGCGATCACATCTCTCTACTCAGGCCACCCCAGCCCTCCCTGCTGAGTCTGAAGAGCCTCACCAAGGTGTCAGACCTAGACCACGAGTGGGCTGCCTACAGAGCATTTGGGCAGATTAAAACCAGAAGGGACGGGTGCTGGGGCTTCCAGAAGAAAGAATGACAGCCCAGCTGTCCAAGCTAAACAAGGAGGACACATGGGGGGAACCCAGCCCTGGCGGAACGGTGGCCTCCAGCGCTGCCTGCACGTGGGGCCTCTGAATGGTGCCTGCCCTGCCTTGTGACGGGCTGGGTGACAGCCTGCCCACCTCCCCGGCCCTCTATGCTGGACAAAGCACCACTGCTGCCTTTGTTCCTCCTCCTCACACAGTCTTTGGCTCCGCGGGTGACCGAGCTCGCTGGCATCCTCCCAGCTCCTGCATGCACTGTGTCATTTATCCAACCGTTTAACAAGCCTCTCCCCCGTCCACCATCTGGGAGGCCAGGAGGACAATGACACAGAGGTCAGACTCTGGATGTATCCTAACATCAGACTCCAGCATCACTCATCATTACCACGTTGTGATCATCACCACACAGACGGGGCCACACGCCCTGCCCTGTTCATAACGACACCACCTATGGATCCAAAGCTCACATCGGTTTGCAGGATCCTGAACTCACACCCCAAGTGGCCATTACAGCCACTGCTATGTCACTGATGGACTGGCTCTTCTTCCCTTCGTGATCCCCGGGTGTCCTGAGGGCTTCCTAGATGTGGCCCAGCTGACTCAGGGCCCTGGCAAAGGTGTCCCGCTAGAACCCTGTCCCTTCCCAATCGCTCATTTAGGGACAGCAGTCAGTTCTTCTCCCAGACCGCCCCTTCCTCCCTTCTCTCTCCTGCTTAATCAGAGTGGGGAGTCTGCAGTTTGGGCATAATGGGAACCCAATCTGGAGCCTTCAGAGGCTCCTGGGAGCCTTGCATTCCAAATGTGAAGGAAAAAACAGCAGCAGCTACCACCACTGTGACATCCTGTGCCGTGAGCCCTGCCGAGCTCCTGCAGTGCTTTTGTACTCAACCCTCATACACAGTCCCATAAGGAAGTGGATAATGAAGCCAGAAGCTCAGAGAAGGATCACCAGCAGGACAAGGGAGCCAGGGCTGGAGCCCTGAGTGTGTCTGACTTGTCCTGTGGAAAGAAAACATGCTGATCTGTCAGCAAAGGAAGAGTCGCCTTGCCAGACCCTGGTTCCTCTGGACCACCCTGACCCCCAGGTCTCTAAGGACCCCGGAGCCCACCATGGAGGAGTGTACTTTTCCACAGAAATCAGTGTTCCCCAGCAGGAGGGACGTGTGCCTTAGAGGGGCACACATCTGGGCTGGAATCTGGGCTCTGCAAATCCTTCACCATATGACCATGAACAAGACAGGTGACTCCTCTGGTTTGTTAGACTATATGGGGAGGGGGGAAAGGACACACCCCACAGGCTGCTGGGGGGCTGTGCTCTGTGAGCTCACGCTTGTGGGGACCTGGCAGTACAGTGCTCCATGTACAATCTCTCCTGGCTTCAATATTAGTACAACCATGATCATTACTTCTTCACCTCCTACAGCTGGTAGAATGCTCTCCCTAGCAGTCCCCTTGCCCTGTGGAATGATGGTGGCCTCTGACATGACCTCAAAGTTATCATTTTTCCATAAAGCCTCCATGTAATTTTATTTGGAGGCCTCTCCCTGGCACGGATGGTGAGATGGTGCTGCAGGTGCCTCAGCCTGGCAGCTCCAGGACAGGGTGGTAAGCCCACTAGAGTCAGCACAGGGACACGAAACGGACATGGCCCCGTGCTCAGCCTGGCCCCTGAGATAGGGGAACAAATGCTTGCCTTCTCTCACCCTGGTTAGAACATAGATGTAGCATCCCATCTTTGAGGCCTCCTTGAGTGTGGTCAGTACTGACTGGTACATAGAGCAGACTCCACAGATGGAAGTTCCTTCTTGATGTATTTATTTTCCAGTAGTGTTCTGCTTCCTCAGGGGTCAGGGAAACCACCCTAATTCTTAGACCTCTGGCAGCTGCCTTCTTACTGGGATCAGCCTCTCTTGCCATGGAATCAATATTCATCTGGGAAAACTTCTAGACTTGAACTGCCTTTTTTCCTAAAGGCCTTGAAATGTTCTATTGCTATTTTTTGAATTGCATTGCATCCACATGTCTCACATATTGTGCAAAGGTGCAAGGTTAATAGTGCAAAGTGTGTGTCTATCACCCTGACCCCCAGGCCTCCAGCTCCTGCTTTAGGCAAGCATGATCATGGGTTTCTTGTGTGTCTACTTGGCCCCCATCTAAGAAAATGAAAACATGTATTTGGGAAACCACCCTCCTTCTTTGGGACCCTGTAGCATTCTGGGTCTCCCATTCTATACTTGGCTTTTCTCACTGACTCCTTCATGGGCAGTGTTCATTGTGCTGGATGCATGTTTTTCCTTTTGATTTTTGGAAGGGTTATCATTTGGTTTTGGGTCTTCTAGAACCTATTCTTGAAGTTTCAATGTATGCACTTCGCTAACTACTACCTCCTCACGAAGAACGATGATGGAATTAGCATAGCCCCTTCTCACCTTCCCACCCCTGCTCACACAATTCTGGTTAGTGCTGTTAGTGTTTTTATTTCTCCTAGTAGTTGCCTTTATGTGCTTTTTTCCCTTTTAAAATTTATTTTTGTTTTTCGAATTGGGGTCTCACTCTGTTGCTCAGGCTGGGGTACAGTGGCACAATCCTAGCTCACTGTAGCTTCAAACTCCTGGGCTCAAGCGATCCTCCCACCTCAGCCTCCCAAGTAATTGGAACTACAGGTGCATGGCTCTAACCTTCATACTTTTTACCTTATTGTTTGAGTCGTGGTCTCACTCTGTCACAGAAGCTGGGGTGCAGTGACACAATCATGGCTCGTCGCAGCCTCAATCTCCTGGGCTCAGGCGATCCTTCTGCCTCAACCTCCTGAGGAGCTGGGACTGCAGGCATGTGCCACTCCACCAGGCCTGGCTCATTTTTAAGTTTTTCGTAGAGATGAGGTCTTGCTATACTGCCTAGGCTGGTCTCTAACTCCTGGGCTCAAGCAGTCCTCTTGCCTTAGCCTCCTGAAGTAGTGGAATTACAGGCGTGAGCCACTGCACTTGGCCCCTTCATGCTTTTGAATACATTTATAGTGCTTTCATTTGATTTATGAATTCTGAATTATATTTACATTTATGAACTCTGAACTATATTTGACCCTCATCTACTGCTATGAAAGACAAGGAAACCAACATTCTCACATGACCTCCAACCTTCTCAGTATGTTCGCCTCTGGGGGTCGTGAGTCATATTACTGTCTCCACGTTGCTGTGATTTGGAACATCTGTATTGGATTGTGCAACCGGGCACTGCAAGTGCACAGTGAGGCCTACTTTCAGCAGAGATTGAAGGGGCACACAGGGGAGATCAAGCCTGGGGGAACAGTCAGCCTCTATACCCAGGCAGAGCTGTCCACGTGGACTGTGGTTCACATGCAGAGACCCAAGCAAGCCTCATACAGACCCAGGGGCCTTGGGAATGACCCTACCTGACTGTTACACAAAAAAGCTGACCAAGGCCCAGTGCCACCATCATACACATATTTTGAAACTAAGGAAAGATATTTTGCAAAGACAAACCACATTTTATAATAAAGCACAAAGACAGAACTGGCAGATATAAATCTTACCAGTGAGAACACAATCAAACATAATACTTTTAAAAAGTCAAGAATGATGTGCAACTTAGAGAGTGACTATCCTTCCTAGGGATGAAGAGATACCAATCTTTCCCTAAAGAAGCAAAAATCACATTTGCATTGAAATCAGATTCCTGTGTGTGCGTGTGGGCTTCAGCTTGCTCTCTTTACACTGGAAGTCTAGAATTACCTCACTGATTTTGCACAGTGGCTGCAAAGATTTCTTCTTCACATCCTATTCCCAAGAGAGCAAGGAGAAACCACCCAATGGAACATGCCTTTGAGCATCTGCAAGCACAGAGGCTGACCCCGACATAGGTTTAGCACAGGACATGGCAGACATTCCTGACACCAGTAACGCACCCTCCCATGGATCCCCACCAGTCAACATTTGTTCCCTTAAGTTGCTGCTTTATATTTCAAAGAGCTGTGTGATTAGGACTCCTCACTAAAAATTTGAAACATCTCTCACTAATAAGTCTGAATTAATGAGGTATTATTTACCTTTAAGAGCAGGATATGATTATGGATGTGTTTTCATTATTGTTTAATCTTTGCTGTTTTA